ATACAAAAGCAGTTTCTACAGGTTCTACAGAACTTCACTACCTTCTTATTTTTTGTTAGTACCTGATTCTTTTTAGTGCTGGTATGAGGATAAGGTCGCCAGGCGCTAATTTAAGCTGCATCTTACCGCGCTGTTACGTACCTAATACAAAACAGTGCCCAAATTATTATAAATTTAAAAGTTCAGCTTAAATTATGTTATACATATAGTCTGTTCCTTTGAACTTCGGACTAAAACCAGTGGAACTGTCAAACTACAATTTTACGCTCTCAAATGAGAGTAAAAGGAGAACAGATGCAGAAGTGCATAGGAACGCAAAAAGCACTATTTCCTGTAAAAACGTCAGACGGTTTGTTTACATGTCATTGGTACTACACTGATTGGGCTGAAATATCACTAAATAATTATTAAAATCTATACATATTTTAATATTTCGTTGTTTACTTCCATTTTTTTTAACAAATATAAGGGTCTTTGCTTTCACCGCTTTCTGTTTTTGTTTGCACATGTAAATCAGCTGATCGTTTGACACTTTTCATGAACTTACAGGAAAAAAAATCTCCGGACTAAATCCTGTAACTTCTGACTAGGAACAGTTGCTCAGTTACTCTCTCAAATGTGTTCCCACTTACAGGTTTTATGTCAATAGGAACGACTTCCTGTAAGTTCTGACTGCTATTGGAACAGACTAATAGTGTTCGTTGCAGAGCTGAGTCACTTGTTCCTTACCTCGGGTGGGGGGTAACAAGTAATTCTCAGCAATGCTTGAACTACAAATACTCTTATTTTAAAATTCTCTACCCCTTACCACTGGTGGGGGGAAGTAGAGTCTAATAAAATAAGAGGTTAGTACTTTCAATATTAAAAGTTTTACCCCTTACCGCTGGTGGGGGGAAGTAAAACCTTAATAAGGAAAGAAGAATACAAATTATTAAATGCTTTACCCCTTACCGCTGGTGGGGGGAAGTAAAGCATACAAAATAAATTATAGAAGAAGAAGAAGAGTGTTATTGAGAGTCTTTACGATTCTGCTCTGTTTATTAAATATTTTCCTTTTATATACAAATTCTAGTTCTATTTTTCTTAACTAATTGTAAATACATATGTATGTGTGTGTGTATGCACATGTTGTTTTGGTATGTACTATTTACAAACCAACGCTTTGGTCTTATCATAATTTTAATTTTAATGCTTGCATTTGCGTCGGCTATATGTAGACATGCATATAATATCAATGCATTTTCTAATGCATGTATGTATGGGTGTATGCATTTGTATGCGCGAACATTACCCTGCAGTTTTTCTGACTAAGGACTAGTGATTTAACTAACACAATATCTCTACCTACTTCTCAAGGGCATAAGTAATGCATAAAAGCGATAGTTAAATTATTTTCGGTATGCTACTGCTGCTTTTTGTTTGTATCTGGCGCCACTTGCTTGTGTTTTTTGTCTGTTGGTAGAAAGTGTGCCATGGAAAACGAGATTATCCCGTTATTTCTAATTTTTTATATACTCATTTTTTCTGATCTACTTCTACTCAGTTGATTTGTCGTGGTTGCAAGCGTCGTTTCAATTGTTGCGTGCAAAAATAATTAAAGTGGGTAAATGAGTAAATATAACTAAAATAAACTAAAGTTGTAATAATTTTACTATAATAAGTTAAAATGAGTAGCAAAATGCATTTGAGAAGATTGATAAAAGCTGAAAAGGAAAAGTACTTAGAAAAATTGCTGTCCGTAGGAAAAGAAAGTGCTAACAGTTCAGAGATAAGTGAAATGGAAACAGAATTAGAAGAGGCGTTGGTACAAATTGAATTAGTTAACGATAATGTGCGTGAATATGAAAACTTAGGAGTTTTAAGTTTAAACGACAAATTAAAGGGGTGGTACTCTGAACATAAACCAACGCGGAGATGTGCAAAAGATTTGGTTAGGATTCTCAAGGAGGAAAATTTGAACGTTTCAATGTTTTATAAATTCGATTGTTCAATTAAACCAGAAATATATTCTGTAGCTGGGGGATCATACCTTCATGTAGGATTGACCCAACAACTTAATAAAATATCTAGCGTTGTCCAGCTGCCTGACAATTTGGTTATAGATATAAACATAGACGGCCTTCCTTTATTTAGGAGCTCAAGAGCTCAGTTGTGGCCCATCCTAGTATGAGTAAACAATTTAAAAAATCAGCCCGTATTTCCTATAGGAGTGTTTATTGGTAATAGCAAACCACAAAGTTGTGATGAATACTTACAAAAATTTATATTTGTGTTCACGAATTTAAAAGAAAATGGGTTGCAACAGTCAGGGAGAAAAATTATAATTGATATTAGGGCAGTGATTTGCGATGCTCCGGCAAGGGCGTTTGTTACTGGCACACCCTCGCATACATCCCGATACGGTTGCACAAAGTGCACCCAAGTAGGAAAAAAGATTGATACACATTAACCTACAGCTCAACATCAGGTGTTTTAATAACAGACGAGGACTTCGCAAGTAGCAAATATCCCGACCATCATGTAAACTCTTATAAAGCAAGAAAGTCAACATTCGAAATCCTTGGCGTATTAATGGTCAAGCAGATTCCCTTAGACTGTATGCATTTGGTGGACTTGGGTGTCATGCGAAAATTTTTGTTAAGAATTATTAATAATAAAGTGTCTTTTAATATTTCAAATTCGAACAAAAAAAATATGTCTGATAAGTTGATATCAATGCGTAAATATATTCCGAATAAGTTCGCTCGTAAGCCTAGAGCTTTAAATGAAATTANTGTCATGCGAAAATTTTTGTTAAGAATTATTAATAATAAAGTGTCTTTTAATATTTCAAATTCGAACAAAAAAAAAATATGTCTGATAAGTTGATATCAATGCGTAAATATATTCCGAATGAGTTCGCCCGTAAGCCTAGAGCTTTAAATGAAATTCTAAATTGGAAAGCCACCGAGTTCAGGCAGTTTTTGTTGTATACGGGTGTGATTTCTCTAAAGAATGAAGTGCATGATGACATATATTTTGAGTTCTTGCTGCTGCATTGTTCATACAGACTTCTATGTTGCTCGAAGCAGTGTTAACAAAATTTGGAATCTTCACAGACTATGCTTAACCTTTTTGTGCAAAACTTTCAGATTTTATTCGGACAAAANTACAGACTTCTATGTTGCTCGAAGCAGTGTAAACAAAATTTGGAATCTTCACAGACTATGCTTAACCTTTTTGTGCAAAACTTTCAAATTTTATTCGGACAAAGCAGTGTTTCTTATAACGTCCATAATTTGCTACACCTCAGAGAAACTATTGAACATGTTGATAATCCGACAGAAGGTTCATCCTACGCTTTTGAAAACTACTTGCAAGCCCTAAAAAAATCTGTTAAAAAACTGATGCATCTGAATGCAACACTGTTCCTAAGAACTGAATAACGAATCTGTTTCTTAAGATCCTTCGCAAGTTGACGTTTGCAAACTACAGACCACTTCGCTTATATTACGATTTCCGCTATCACGTGTTCTTACTTAAAATTACTGAATATTGTTAACAAATTAGATTAATAAATACTTGAAGTTACAACAAATAACTGGCGACGAGGTAAAGTCAGTGAGTTCACGGAATCGTAATAAACTACCCGAGGCGTTCGATTGAAGCGTAAAAAGGCAAAAAGGTAAAAAGCTGCATTACCATGGAAGAAACTCTCGGGAGACTGCTAAAGCAACAGCAGGACTTTTTAGTGGACGTATTGAGTACAAATAGAGCATGGATGATTGCACAATTGGAAGAGCAAAAAACAAATCTTGCTAAAATGCAAGAAAATCCTCGTGAGCCGACCATAACCTCAACAAATATATCCGTGCCAGCCTTTCCACCGTATGTGCATACAAAGCAAAGTTTTGACTCGTACATCGCACAATTAACCCAGCATTTCGAAGCGTATTCA